GAATGTTTGTTTTTTTCAATTTTTGGCATATGAAATCTCGAAGTATATGCAAACATGTTTGACGGTTGGATCGTTGAAACTAGTTTCGTAGAATGTGTATCCTATCAAAACAATAGATTCACTAACACTTAAAGATTTTATTCATACTTCATCAAGTAAGATTTTGTGGTATCCACTAGTGTAAATATTTTAAATTGAAGATCGAATTCATTCATTGTATTTATATAGGGCCAAGGAGTGTAGCTGTAAAAAATTATCAAAATCGGAGTTAAAATAACCGTTAAATCGTGATTTTTCATTTATAACCGTCGAAACGTTTTGTCCCGTTACTTGATCTCTGAATGTTTGTTTTTTGCAATTTTTGGCATATGCGATCTCGAAGCATATACAAACAAGTTTGACGGTTGGATCGTTGAAACTAGTTTCACAAAATGCGTATCTCATCAAAACAATATATTCACTAACACTTGAGAGTTTATTAATATTTTCATTAAGCATAACATAAGATTTTGTGGTATCCACTAGTGTAAATATTTTAAATTGAAGATCGAATTCATTCATTGTATTCATATTGGGTCAAGGAGTGTAGCTGAAAAAAATTATCAAAATCGGAGTTAAAATAATCGTTAAATCATGATTTTTCGTTTATAACCGTCGAAAAGTTTTGTCCTGTTACCTGATCTCTGAATGTTTGTTTTTTTCAATTTTTGGCGTATGCGATCTCAAAGTATATACAAACATGTTTGACGGTTGGATCATTGAAACTAGTTTCGTAGAATGCGTATCTCATCAAAACAATAGATTCACTAACACTTAAGAGTTTATTCATACTTTCATCAAGTATAACATAAGATTTTGTGGTATCCCCTAGTGTAAATATTTTAAATTGAAGATCGAATTCATTCATTGTATTCATATAGGGTCAAGGAGTGTAGATGTAAAAAATCATCAAAATCGGAGTTAAAATAACCGTTAAATCGTGATTTTTCGTTTATAACCGTCGAAAAGTTTTGTCCCGTTACTTGATCTCTGAATGTTTGTTTTTTTCAATTTTTGGCGTATACGATCTCGAAGCATATACAAACAAGTTTGACGGTTGGATCGTTGAAACTAGTTTCACAAAATGCGTATCTCATCAAAACAATAAATTCACTAACACTTGAGAGTTTATTCATATTTTCATTAAGTATAACATAAGATTTGTGGTATCCACTAGTGTAAATATTTTAAATTGAAGATTGAATTCATTCATTGTATTCATACAGGGTCAAGGAGTGTAGCTGTAAAAAATTATCAAAATTGGAGTTAAAATAACCGTTAAATCGTGATTTTTCGTTTATAACCGTTGAAAGGTTTTGTCTCGTTACTTGATCTCTGAATGTTTGTTTTTTGCAATTTTTGGTGTATGCGATCTCGAAGTATATACAAACATGTTTGACGGTTGGATCGTTGAAATTAGTTTCGTAGAATGCGTATCCCATCAAAACAATAGATTCACTAACACTTAAGAGTTTATTCATACTTTCATCAAGTATAACATAAGATTTTATGGTATCCCCTAGTGTAAATATTTTAAATTGAAGATCGAATTCATTCATTGTATTCACATAGGGTAAAGGAGTGTAGCTGTAAAAAATCATCAAAATCGGAGTTAAAATAACCGTTAAATCGTGATTTTTCATTTATAACCGTCGAAAGGTTTTGTCCCGTTACTTGATATGTGAATGTTTTTTTTTTGTAATTTTTTGCTGATGCGATCTCGAAGCATATACAAACAAGTTTGACGGTTTGATCGTTGAAATTAGTTTCTTATAATTCGTATCCCATGAAGTTCAATGGTGTGTGTGTGTGTACATATATTTTATTTATTTATTAAGTAGATTTAAATCTATTTATTTTGTATGTATAATTATTATAGTTTTTAGGGGTATAAAATTTAATTTAAAATTTAATATATATATATATATATATATATATAAATATAACTATTATAGTTAATATTTTGGGGGTATAATTATTATAGTATATATAATTATTATAATTATTATAGTTAATTTAATATATATATATATAATTATTATAGTTTATAGGGTATAAAATTGTTAAATTAATATATATAATTATTATAGTATTTTTTTAGGGTTATAAAATTATTAAATTAATATTCTGCTTATCGTGTATCGTGTTACCCACGTGTATACCCGAACCAACCCGTTATCTTAACAGGTGCTTATCGGGTTACCCGATAACGACCCGTTTCGTTATCGTGTCAACCCAAACACCTGTTAATTTCGTGTCGTGTCGTGTCAGGAATTGCCAGGCCTAAACAGCCCCCCGCAAGCTGACTGGGGGTGGAAGAACAGGAAGCTTGGATACCAGTAACTTGAAGCGTGACGATGACAGTCCTTTGGTAAACAGATCAGCTAGCTGATCTTAAGAACAAATGTAATTGACTATTAATTCAGCACGAACAACCTTTTCCCGAACATAATGATAATCAACCTCAAGATGTCTTGTGCGCGAATGGAAAACAGGATTGGAGGCAAGTGCAATGGAAGAAACATTGTCACACCAAATCGTTGGTTGACAAAGATGCAAATGTATATCCTTAAAAAAAGATCGAAGCCACGATAACTCAGCTGCAGTATAAGTCAACTGTCTGTACTCAGCCTCTGCAATAGACCTAGACACTATCTTCTGTTTCTTTGAACTCCAGGAAACAAGATTGGGACCCAAATAAATGCAGTAGCCACCTGTGGAATGTCTGGTATCTGGATTACCAGCATAATCAGCATCAGAAAACGCAAACAGCCTAGCATTTCCAGGTTTGTAGAGAAGTCCATGAGTATGTGTGGCTTTCAAGTAACGAATAATACGTTTGACAGCCTTCTAGTGAGCAAGTTTGGGTGCATGCATAAACTGGCATACTTGATTAACCGAGTTGGATAAATCAGGATGAGTAATAGTAATGTACTACAATGCTCCAATAACACTATGATAGTGTGTTGGATTTTCATATGCCTCACCATCATACGCATTTAGCTTATGGCCACAGGAAACTGGAGTTGATATAGGCTTTAGCTTCAATGAACTTTATGCGTGTGAGAAGATCCAAAGCATACTTGGATTGACTGAGATGCATGCAATTCCCAAAATACTTCAGTTCAACACCCAAAAAATAGTGGAATGGTCCTAAATCTTTCATGGAAAACAAGGTTCGTAGCTTGGTAATACTATTCCCAGTCAGTAGAATATCATCGACATAGATTAATAAGATGAGATACACACCTTTCTGATTAAATACAAAGAGACTGTAATCACATGTTAATTCTTGAAAGCCAAGTTGAAGCAAAAATTCTGAAAAATGTTGAAACCAAGCCCTAGGAGCTTGCTTTAACTCGTAAATGGAACGTTGCAGTTTGCAAACATAGTGAGGAAACTGCTTGTCAACAAACCCTGCAGGCTGTCTCATGTATACTTCTTCACTTAAATATCCATGCAGAAATGCATTCTGCACATCAAGCTGTCGAACATGCTAATTTTTCGATACTGCAAAACTTAGAACAAGTCTTATGGTACTGTGTTTAAGAACAGGACTGAAGGTCTCGGTGTATTCCACACCAGGTTGTTGATGGAAACCATTTGCAACCAAATGTGCTTTATGTCTTTCAATGGTACCATCGACATTCCTCCTTATTTTGAACACCCACTTGTTGGGCAAAAGATTCATGTTTGGCCGGTATGGAACCAAGCTCCATGTTCCACAATACTTCAAGGCATTAAACTATTGGATCATAGCATGTCTCCATTCTGGATATTTAACTGCCTGAGTAAAACAAGTAGGCTCAACAGGAACATCATTAATAGCCACATGCATAGCATACTTAGGGTTTGGTTTGTGTATTCCGGACTTGGAATGTGTGGTCATAGAGTGTGGTGGTTCAATAGGAGCCACGTAAGGCATTGGCATGAGGTCTTGAATTACTGTAGCTTGCTCATTCAACACTGGAGATGAACGTACAATACTAGGCTGTAAAGTCACATGGGTGTTGTCAGGTTGAATTGGTGAAGGAGTAGGATGAGGTGAGGTCATATGGGTGTTGTCGGTTTGAATAGGTGAAGGTGAAGAATTAGGTTGGGTTACATGTGGGGTGTCAGTTTGACTAGGTGAAGATGTAGGATTAGGTTGGGTCACTATTCGATGTGGGATGGCAGATGTGGTTGAAATTTATGGTGGAAGGATAGTGAGTGTTTGTATGGGAGTAGGTATCGTGGTCAAAGAAGGAGATGTGTGTAAAGGAAAATTAAATAAGAGATCTGGTTAAGAAGAAGTACCATGTGTTTGAACGCTTTCAGAAAAAGATGTGAGTCCTTGAAAAGGATAAAAGTCCTTATTGAACAGGACATGGCGAGACAAATAAACTCGTTTCGTGGACAAATTCATACATTTATAGCCTTGATAAGTCAATGAATAACGTAAGAAAACACATGATTTGCATTTTTGTTGAAGTTTATTTTGTGTATAAGGCATCAACCACGGAAAACATTGACAACCAAAAATTTTTAGGATATCATAGTTTGGTGGTTTATGAAATAACTTCTCATAAGGTGATTTGTTAGACAACAAACAGGTTGGTAACCTATTTATCAAATATGTTGTCGTACAACAAGCATCAAACCAAAACTTAGTAGGTATGTATGACTGAGAAAGCATCACAATACTAGTTTCAACAATGTGTCGGTTTTTACGCTCCGCAAGTCCATTTTGTTCTGGATGTTTAGGGTACGAAAATCTTTGAGAAATCCCATGAAGTGCTAAAAACTTTTGAAAGGCAATTCTTTTGTATTCACCACCTTCATCACATTGAATGGCTTTAATTTTTAAATTGAACATATTTTCAACTTTGGCCTTAAACTAGATAAATATTTCAAAGACTTGAGATTTATTTTTCATGGGAAAAATCCAAGAATATCTTGAGTAATCATCAACAAGCAGGACATAATAACGAAAACCTTCATTGGAAATAATTGGAGAACACCAAACATCAGAATGTAGAAGCTGCAAAAGACAATTGGAAACAGACACTGACACTTTGAAAGGCAACTTGGTGCTCTTTCCTAATGGACAAGACTGACAAAAGGTGACATTGGAGGTACCATGAACTGGAACCAATTTATTTGCAATTAAAAACTTTATTGTTGAACTGGCAGGATGACCAAGACGTGCAATTTTTGAACAGAAACTCGAACCCCTACAAAGACTTTAACTTGATTTGGAAGTTGTCAACCGCCACCTGAAAACGGGTATAAGCCGTTCTCATATCTCCCTTGAAAAAGCGTCATCCGGGTCTTGAGGTCCTTTACAAGGAAAAAATGTGGGAAGATTAATAAATAGCAGTCATTGTCTAATGTAAACTTGTGGGCAGAAATGATGCTAGTTGAGGCTTTAGGGCAGTGTAGGATGTCTTGTAAATTAAATGAGCAAGCATCAATATTAATTTTATTAGAACCATAATGTGCAATCAAAATACCAAAGTCTTTACCTGCACCACCAACACTATCATTACCATTATACTTCTTCGGGTTTACCAGGTTTTGCAGATTCGGAGTGATGTGCGCATTGGCTCCTATGTCCAGTAACCAATTGCCATTTTTTTGTTTATTGAGAGTAGTAGGAAACGATACCATGGCAGAGAGACGCTTGGTAAGAATGCGGCCTTCAAAAGCAGCGTTTATTCGTTGATAGCAATCCAGAGCTGGATGACCAGGTTTGCCATATCTGGCAGATAATATGCTCACCAGTAGAAGCACATCGTTCCCCATTTCCAGAAGCATAGCGTTGATTGTTGTTATTACGAGGGTTGAATCCTCGTTGATTCGACGTTCCACCACGATTGAAAGGAGAAGCACTGCGCCCAACACCACGACCTTCACCTCGTCTTCTTGCAGCAACAAAGGCCGTAACAGAAGCTTGTTCCACCATAGGAGCAGCATGCTCCAACATTCTTCTTTCAATGGTTAACAATAACACCTCAAGAGTCAGATACGTGATAGGTGTATCATAAGCTTGAGCAACACTGACTGTCATCTCGAAAGCTGGTCCAAGATTGTTCAACACAATCTGTACTAATTCATCGTCACTCACAGGTTGCCCAGCTAGGGCAAGGTTGTCAACAATCACATTCATGCGATCCAAATAGTCGGCTACCAAAAGATCACTATTCTTTGTCTGCAACAATTCATTCCTCAAAAATAAAATCCTATTTTGTGAAAAAGAAGCATACCGCTGCTCGAGCGCTTCCCAGGTTGCTCTAGCACTTCGCTTGCTAGCCACAACAGACAAAACTGATGCAGTAAGTGAGCCATTGATCCAACTTATGATCATTTAATCCTGCTGCATCCAGAAGGTATAGGCAGGATTAACAGTTGCCACACCAGGCATGTGCTTCGAGGGACACACCAGAGTGCCATCAACATACCCCATTAAATCTCGACTCTTGAGAATAAGAAAGATTTGGGCCAACCACAGTGGGTAGTTGGTCTTGTCTAGCTTAATGTTTACCACGTCATGGAGGAAAAGGGATAGGTGGGATTGTTTGGGGAAACGGGATTGAATGGTTGAGAAGAAGCACCATTGTTTTCAGCCATTGGAAGCGAGGAAAAACAAATATGGATCGTTGTCGTTAGACAGTAAGGCTCAATACCATGTAAAACTTAATAACACAGAGATTTCACTTCAATTGCATATCCTTGAATGTGTGGGATGCATGTACTTATAACCACTTACAGATTACGATCAGGGTTTGAATTAACCCTACTTACACAAAAGTTCAAAATTCAAAAGATACTGGTTTGGTATTGCTGTGCTTTGAAAAAAAGCTGCTGTGAGAATAAGCGGCTGTGCTGTGAGAATAAGCGGCTGTGAAATAAATCAGCAGAGTGTTTGGTAAGCTTTTTTGTAAAAGTGCTTTTGGAAAAAAAAAACAGTCTGATAGTGGAGCTTTTCATTAAAGGAGCACTGTAGTTATATGTGCTTTGAAAAAAACCAGTTTTCCAAAGCTACAAATTGCAGCTTCAGCTTTTTCCTTTGATTTCAGCTTATTCTCACAGCAGCTTCCAAAATAAGCCCTTTTTTTTAAGTTTACCAAACACCAAAAACACTCCCAGCTTTTTTTCATAGGAGCTTTTTTTAAAATCACCTCAACCCCAAACTGGGGCTAAATCTACAAAGATAACAACCAGTTTCAGTTAGAAGAATAATTTAAAAAGGAAGTCCTATAAACAAGGAGATAAGACTCCTAAGCACAGCACGACTCTTCAAGAAGTGTTGGTTACCACCAACGGTTGACTTCGTCTAACAAAGACTTCAATTAAAATACGTGGTGTACCACTTGTGTTCTTGTTACAATTAAAAATTTCTCCACAAATGCCCTTCGTAGCTTTATGTAATTATCAGACACGGTTTATAGGTATAAGCTGAAAAAACCTATGATCATTTAGGAACCGGACCCCCTCCTGAGCATGGGGACCGGAGCATGCTGAGCAACCTATTCGGATTCGGGTCTTTGAAATTTGATTCAACAGCTACAAGTAGAGGGTTCCTCTAAAAATTATAATAATTGCAAGTTGTAACTATTAGATCAAATTTCAAGAATCCGGATGGGTTGCTCAGCAGGCTCCGGTCCTCATGCTCTAGAGGGGATCTGGTTTCGATCATTTATCCTTGATTTACCAAGCAAGGACAAGCGATATAGCTATTCAATGTTGACTATATATTGCATATTGTATGAATATAACGTACTGGTCACATCAGAACACACTATTGACTATACATTTGCTCATTCATCAAATAAAATATGATTTTTTTTTCAAGGGATAGAATCATAGGAAAACTAACGAAAAATCCAAAAAACTTCTCTTTTAACGAAAAGTCATTTTTAAAGGTATAGTGAATAGTGCCAGTTAAAGGTAAAAATGTGGTTTTTCATTAAAAATGAACAGTACTGGGAGTGTTTTGTTAAAACTCCCTAGAATCATATGTTTGGGTTAAATAATTATTAGTTAAGAAAAACATGAAATTAAATTAATTATTAATTAACTCATGTAGTCATGTTTGTATAAAGGGAAATTCTAAGTGATTTTTTTAAAAGTGGGACTTTCAGCGATTTTGCTTATTGTTTAACATCAATTCTTGTAAGAACATTTTAAAACACTGTGCAAAAAACATAAAGTGACAGAGAGAAATGCTAAGTGACTTTTTTAAAAGTAGGACTCTTCGCGACTTTGCTTATTGTTTAACGTCAATTCTTGTAAGAACACTTTAAAACACTGTGCAAAAAACATAAAGTGACAGACATAAAGAGTTCTACTTTTAAGAGAATCTCCTTAGAATTTTTCTAGACTAATTATAGTGATCTTAAACTTTTAAGAATAGAAGATTGAGGTTAAGACTTCGAAAAAAAGTTTTTTTTAGATTCACATTTTTAATTATTCTACACTAGACGCCAACAACATAGAAGCTAAGATCATCTCTAACCCTGACCTAAAACCTAAAAATATTTAGCCTAGAAAATTTAGGTTTTAGCCAAAAAACAGCTTTTCTGCTCCAACCATTTTGGCCTAAAATTTTAGCCCGAGATTATCAAAGAATGAATTCAGGCTAATTTTTTTTTAAATTAACTATTTTAAAAAAAATTATGTAGACCATCCTAAATTAATTTTATGAACATTTTAACCTAAAAATATTTAAATTCCAATAAATTTTGAAAAATCACTAAATCAATACATGAAAATCATGATGAACCACATAAACTTAATACAAACGACCATTAATAAACCACATAAACTTCAAAAAAAAAAACAATTAATAAACCACATAAACTTAACACAATCGAAAACTCATAAACTACATATACTTAATAATGATATCCACCATTTTGACTTGGTGATGGACTTGGGTGATAGTCTTGAGATGAAATCATCATCTTGAAATATACTCCTTGTGTCATTCCTTCATAAAATGTCCTTTTGCTTACCATGTAAGTATTTCTTCCTCTCTGGAGTGTGTTTGTCGAGGTCCTCCATCATCAAATTAATTTCGAACCTTTCTTGCTCCCTATCCCCTTCTTCCTTCATGGCCAAACACATTTGGGCTGATTCTTCTTGCCGAGAGATATAATTTTTGTTCATTCTTGCAATTTCGCTAGCAAATTGTGCACATATTGCATCTTGGGACTTCCCTTTTCTCTTTGCTTCTTTTTGCTTATCTCTACCCGGTGGCCTTACAAAAGAAGAAGTTAGGGTCATTTGTTCGACACCTTCATTGTTGGCAAAATTCACACCTTCATTGACATCATTTGGGGGTGGGGCTTCACTATGAAATAATCTTCCACATTGTTGGTTCGCATCGGTTCGCCACCTCGGACAATCCTTAAGGATGTTCCAAGCATGATGCAACTTAAAAGCTTGATTTTTTGGTGTAGTTCTTCTTGTAAATTGCCATTGCTTTGTCACCCTATGCAACAAATACATAAAAACAATTAGTTGCTAAATACTATTATGTACATGACAACTAAAATATCAACAAAGAAACTCACAATTTCTGAGGCACCCATTCCACTAGGCATGTCAACCGTGGCTCTCTCCAAGCTTCCCTTCCACAAAGTGCATGCTTTGTTGATAATCTTCCACCAATCATAAACACCACCAACTTCCCTTCGACCGGCATTGGAGTTTTCATGGAACTTATCAACGTTTTTACCCCACAAAACGTTTCTATTTTGATTTGTGCCGACGACACCATTTTCGCTAACAGAAATTCATGCCAAACATAAAGCAATATCTTCGTCAAAGGTCCAATTATGACCTCTAACATACTCTTTTGCCATCTTGAAAAATTTGGAAATGAGAAGAAATGGTAGAAAGAAAAATTGGAAGAATTGTAGGAGAAAAGTGAGTTTTGTGTGGATGTTTAAACAAATACATAAGTATTTATAAAGTTTTTGGTTGAATTTTAAGTTAAATAATTTTTTTTAAATTATTTTAGCCATTGGATTTAAATTTGGACCATTAGATCTTTTTTTTACTGTTAGATTTGATTATATTCGATCTAAGTCGTTGGATTCAACAAATATATCAATATAAAACTAAAAAAAAATAATTTGAACCTGGACCATTGGATTAACCAACGACCCATTTAAATTGGGCTATTGGATGAAGAAAAGTAGTCGTTGGGCTACTTATTGGTCTGACACCCGGAGGAACAACCCCACGTGGGTTTGTCACCCCACAACAAATGCCTAGCGCGTTCAGCGCGTAGGCGAGTTCGATTTGGGCAGTGGGTTTCATAGCCCCGGTTTCAATCTCAGTTGGTGGGGCCCATTTTGTTTTGTGGTCTAAAATTGGGCCGGTATTTGACCCGCATATCAGTTTTAGGTTTTAGGTTAATTTTAGGTCATGGGTTGGAATGAATTTTGGGGGGAAAAAAAGAGAAAGGATCCTTGTCGGATTCTCTTTGTAAAGATCTTGAAAATTCTCAAATCATATTCGTTCATCATATATTGTGCGGTCAGAAATTATTGTAAATTTTTTTATTTAAAATTGAATATGAACAGTACCTGACGAAAATTGATCCCACGATGCAAGATGAATGGATGTGATTGGAAGATCCTTGGGATCCACTCTCATAATCTTGGTGGTCACTAGCTAATACAATAGTAATTTTGTACCCTTTGACAAAATGACAACCATATCCCTATTTTTCCTATTTTACCCTCTTTTTATACTTATTTTTTCAATTTTACCCTCTCTTTTGATACATAATATTTACATAAAGAGGACAAATCAGTAATTATGTAATATTAATAAAATATACACTTATTAAGAGAAATTGTTCACATTCACAAAATGTGTGCTCTCTGCTAGTCAACAATAATAGCAACGTAGTGTACTAGTTTTATAAACAATTTTACACAATTAGAATTCGTTGGGGCATGTTTGGTATTCAATTTGAATCCAACTTTTTAAACTCAAAATCAGTTTTCAAGTTTTAAGTGTTAAAAACTTGTTTGACATGAACCTTTTCAAAAACTAGACTCAAAACTAACTTAAGAATTAGCCTATGTCATAAAAACACCAAAAGTGTGTTTTTAGAGTTTTTAATTTTAAAGATCACTATTTCTCTCTTCCCTTTTCTCTCGCACCTAATCCCTTATCTTTTATCTCTATCATTGCTCTCACTCCTCCAATTTTCTTACTCCTTCGATCATCTCATATTTCTCTCTCTCTCTCTCTCTCTTCTGATCCACTCTCCTTTCTGACATGCCCCGACCCTGATATTCCCCAAATACCAGGATAGATACGTGATGGCCGACACCCAAGGGTGACGAAAGCCATTAATTGATACAAAAGCTAAGAATAAGAAATAAATAAGGGTTATGAATTTAAAATACAATGAATTAATAATTTAGGAACGTGTTCAGAGCATACAACTAAACCTAATCACTAAAAAGAATTAAGATAAAATTGAATGAATAAAGAAATGGGTCATACATCGAGAGGATTCAAAGATGCTGCTGCGGAAGTGTCTTGACGTCGGGATTAGGTGCCTTGATCCTAAGTCCTGAATGGGGACGCAAAACAAAGGTGAGGGGACCAAGTTCATATATACAATAATAATAAAACAGTTATCAACATACTAATCCCCAAAGTTTAATAGTGAAAACTACTAGCATAGTAAGTGAAGGATTTAATAAAAATCTTAGCATGCCAAAAATATCTCAAAAGTCATATCGCGGAAATCAAAACAGTAAACGTTTCATAGATCGTCTCGTAAGCGCGGTGTACTGCTAGAAAGATCACTGAACAAATATAACTCCCGGCCCAATGCCTGCTCCGTGGTCTCTGCTCCCGTAGCCAGAGATTACCAACTCCCGGCCCAATGCCTGCTCCATGTCCCTTAGCCCGTAGCTAGGGATTATTTCTCCTGGCCTAACTGCCAACACCAGATCCTCGCCCCATGCGGCATAGTGTCCACTAGGTACGCACAAATAGTTATGCCTCTAAAAAATAACCACTTCATAGTATAAAGTCAGCCATCGTCTATACTATAAATAGGGGTTTTGAAAATATGTTCTAGCATCCTATCGTCATCCATCAGATAGTCTACCAGTTCATGGTTTTTATAAAAACACGATATATCAAAATATAGCTCAATATGGGCCAACAATTGATTCCTCACAAAAAACACGAGACGAAAATCAATATATTTAATAAACAAACTTCACATAAATCAAATCATAAACTCGTAGGCATGCTAATCATTTATGCAATTAAACTATAAAATCATGAAATTTTAGAAGGGGTCCACTCACAATACTTAGATGCCAAAAGCTGCGCCACAAGCGAAGATGGAAAAGTCATAATAATTGCCCCTAAATACAAAAATGTACAATAAATCAAACTATATAATAGCAATTGAATTTGGAAAAACAGACATTGGAAACGGATTCAGAACATCGAATTACCCTAAGAAGGGTCCTGGACAAAAACCCGAAATGTCAACATTGACCGGGGGTCAACGGTCAAACTAGGTCAAATGGGTTTTAGGCTTGAATCTGGATTAGGGTCTAGGCTTAGGTTAAAAAGGGTTATGACCTATTGGGTTTTGGTTTTGGATAGGTTAAGTACAAAAGGGGTGGTTTGGGCTTAAGCCCAAATCCACACACAACACACACTCACACACACACTCCCACATACTACACAAACACACACACACGCACTAACAGCCCAAAGGCCTCACAACCAAAAGGGTTGGGCTTGGCAGGGAAGGGCCAAAGGCCTTGGGTTTGGTGGGTCGCCGGACCCAATGGGAGAGAAAGCCGGAAATTCGGCCGGAAATCCACACCCATTTTAAATGGCCATAACTTTGTCAAAACTCCACAAAATTAAGTGATTCAAAAATGAAAGTTGTAGCCCTTGAAGAGACGAAGAGAATGGTACCTCACACGACGTCTAACTCACCATGGTTTAGCCGGAAAATGCCTCGAAAGCCTCGGAGGTCGCCGGAAACTGGGTAAGATTCAAATGAGTATAACTTCTTCAATACTCAACGAAATTGAGTGAAACAAAAAGGAAAGTTGTAGTTCTCAGCGAGATGAAGAGATTGATACCTTACACGCTGGCCAACTCACTGTAGTTTGTCCGGAAATGGCCTCGAAAGGGGCGGTGCTCGCCGAAAGGAAATTGCAGAGGTTGTGATGGTGATGTCCTCAGCAGATGGCGTGGCTGTGTGTTGCTCAGGGAAAAGGAGTTGCAGCAAGGGAGAGAGATGAGGTCCGAGAGAGAGACACAGGAGAGAGAACTGAGAGAGGAGAGAGGGAGACCGGAAAACACAAAAAAAGTAAAACAAGGTGGGCCCCACCGGCTCACCATTTAAGGCTTTAAAACAATTTTTAAATAAAAATGGGGTTAGGATGTTTCCTATTTCATTCTCTTCCCTTTCTTTCCTTCTCCCATTTTTCTCTCTACCCTCCTTCTTTTTTCTCTCTTTGAATTTACAAGTTCACATTATAGGATGAGTTTTTTTTTTCTTTAAAAACAATTACGAATTTCATACCAAAAAAGTTTTTGACTTTTAAACAAAAATTGTTCTTAGGACATGTTTTTAAGAAGTGTTTTGTACAATGATAAATTTTTTTTTTGAATAAGATACCAAACATACTCTTAATTTTTTGAGAACTCAATCATCAATAATTCTGGAAAATTATGATTAAACTCTACCATCAATTCTTTATTCAATAAATAAACACACCGAAACACAATAGTGCTTTTATTCACGAGGAACACCAACCGTTATCTGCCACATAAGCAGTAGATGAGCACATTACAGTCAAGATTACTTGGCTAGAAAAACACGATTAAGCCAACCCAACAACAACAAGAAGAACAACAATAACATTAAATAATACTTAGGTAGTATTAATGAGCTCAATGCTAAACCCTCCGATGGTGATTGGCCCCTTCCCAACTTTCGGCACCAAAGTCACCACCAAACTGCTGTCTGTCTCCGCATCCAACTCCTCCAACAAGCTCATAATGCTCAGTCGCAGGTTCGTCTTAATATTTTTCTTATGCTTATGCGGCACGTGAACAAAACTCCCAGCAAACTCCGACTTGTCTTTCCCAGCCAGCGATTCCGCGTCATCGTTCACATACACGTCGAACTTCACAGGCTCATTCCCGGCAAACTCAATCCCCTTAATCACCAGCACCTCGTCATGTGCCTTCTTCTGGGCAGCTGTCCGCTTCGTCGCAGACGGCCTTGTCACCTCGACGCTGATTGTATCCGACAATGTAGCAGGGAACGTTGTAGTAAGATCAGAAGATGAAACTGTGGCCTTTCTCTTATTCGTCGACTTACGAGCCGTCGGCTTCGACTTCAGCCATGGGATTGGGACTTTCTCGTCGTACACGTACCCGAGTTTTTTAGTGTCGAGCGAGTCCCGAACCTTGACGCGCACGAGATTCTTTTTCTCGTCGTAGAATAAGAACTCTGCGTCCAGCCAGTCGGTATTTTCTATGTCCGTACCTCCCAACTTATCTTTATATATAGACCACATGCGGTCCACGTTGGAATGGTGAGAGTAAAACAGCGGATCCCTCCCCGCAGAGTAAAAGGTCCCCATGTCCTCCCCGTTTGTCTGGGTTGGGTCGCCAACCCAAAGGTGAATATTGTTATGGGGAGTGGTCTCAATGTTTCCGGCGCCAGGATCTGGTTCGTCCCCTGCGCTATAGGGCTCTCCGTAGAATAGTCTGTGAGAAGTGGCCTTCGACACCATCTGCTGGTACATCGTTGTTAGGTTCTCTTTGATTCGTGTCGCGTCGTCGACGTCATCGTCGGTCCCGCCATAATTCAAGTCCAGGAGCTTCGGGGGCTGATGCGCTGTATTTCTGTTCTGGTCGTAGAGGGATGACGACGTATCGGTGAAAATCTCAGGAATGTACATGCCAGCTGGCGCGTCCCAGTTCCAGAAGGGGAGGGCGAAGGTTGGGTCCCCAATGAGCTCGCCCATGATTTTCTCGTAGAAGTAGAGGTACCAACGATGGAACGGGAAGAATAGCCAACAGAAGTGAACTTGGATCTCCAAATCTGAATATCCGACTTGTGGGTATCCACCGTCGCAGTAGGAGCAATGGACTTTGGCCTGTTGGACGAGACTGCGCGGGTCGTCATCTGGAAGTGCCCGCATCAGCTCGATGGCCTTTTTGTATTTAGCCAAGTATGCAGGGTTTTTTGCAACGTCCTGGGCAGCGATCCTTGTGCGGAGTGGGCCTCGGTCGGGGAGTTTGAAGTCGATGATGGTGGTCGTGATGGGTGGGCAACAATCGATGGTGGACCCGTCTGGCTTGTCGGCAGGGCCACATGTGGTCAGGTCTGGGGCGGATACCGGTGCTGCAAAAGCAAATGAGTTTCCTGCCGCACTGTAGAGACCCCCAGTGCCTAAACCTATCAGCATGTTCCTCCTGTCGAGTCTTGCTAAGCCCTGGTCTAGGTTATCATTGTCACCTTTTGTTGCTTTGCAGCGCACTCTGCCCGCAAGGCATTGTTTGGGTTTTCGTTGCAGTGGAGTCTGGGACTTGTTTGGGAATAAAGGAGAGCGGAAGAGGGTGGTTGTGGTGGTGGAGTGCAGGGCGGCCATTGTAGAAGTTGGTGGTAAGGGAGATGAAGTCATGGCTGAATTGGTTTTCCTTTTGCACTCTGCAATTCATAAGGAAATGGGAGTGTGATGTTTTTATAGTGGAAAATGGGGGACCTCACACTAAAAATGTGTATGCATAATTAATATTGGAGTAATGCTAGATTAAGTTTACAAATTAAAGGATGTGTTACCAATAATAAATAAGCATGTTTATCAACATTTAAATAATAATCCAATCATTAGTTTACATATTATGTTTACAAATTTAGTTTATATCTAAAGAACCCTTTATTTTATCTTCTATGGACTGATCAGTAAGAGAACTTTGAGTATCATTGGTAAGTTGTGATAGAAAATGGAAACATCGTAATTTGTGTGAAGAAACAAACATCATATTAAGGGACTAAAATTAATGTGTAATCTAACGTCAGATTTTTATTAAATTTTAATATTCTTTAAGAATTAAAGTTCAAAAACTTCTTTTAAAAATTATTAATACTAAGGAGAGGGGAGATTCGAAATTGTTTCATTAAGGGAGGAGATACTAAATCACATGCAATTATAGTCTAAATATATCATTTTCAAACATTTTTCTAAAGTATTTGATCCACTCTGATGTGCAGACCAGCTGGCCGTCACGAGGATGAAGAATAGTAGTGGTTAGTTACTATCAGATGAAGGACCACAGAACAATCCAGGACACTTTTGTCCGTCGAAATAGTTGAGTTGAGGGTTTGCTGGTACTTAATTTAAAATAAGTCAACAATCTTTGTATTATTGTGTCTAATAACAAATTAATTACAAGTAATTATGTCTTACTGGAGAGATTTTTCCGTGTTGGCGCATTCACCAAGTACCACTCCAACTTTTATCTGTACGTTTTGGACACACCATATTAACGTTAAAAGTAAAAGCACTTCCCTTCGCTGTCGTTTTATCATGAATGCCTGGCAGGGTTGTGCTCGTCATGTCACTTCGATGTCTACCTCATCTACAGAATCTATCAATTAACATGTGGTTTAATATCGACATTTTGTTTATCATTTCGTGTTTTTTTTTTTCTTTGAGTGGTTATATTTCCATCCAGATGTCTTATTTTTTCATCGTCCAGATGCCTTATTTCTCCACTCACCATTTAATAAAAATGTTAATAAAATATTTAACCTTTTAAAAGAAGACTCTTAAACCCCTATTTAATTCAATACTAAAATTTTGAAAAGACAAAAAATAATTTAAAATAATAAATAAATAATGGCGGGTGGGGTGTGATATCTTTGGGGGAAAGAGGTTGGGAAAGATTTGGGTTAGAATCGACGGAAATGTTGGTGGAAGGAATGAGCGTGTGCTGGACGAAGGCGAGAAACTTCAATGGAGAAAAAAGAGAATTGAGTGTGAGATATGCAGTTTTGACAAAAAAGGAGGAAGAATAGTGGTTTGGGGGTCCGGGATCTCTGTAGGGCGGCCCTAGGTCTTAGGTCTTGCATTTTCTTTCATTTTTTCTATTTTTATTTATTTAATTATAATATTATTTAAAGATATATTAGAGTTATTTAAAAAAATTATTATGGTTATTTTGGGAATAATGGTGGGTGGGGAAATAACATTTTACTTTTTTAATTTTTTATGGTGGGTAAGATTATCATTTGAGTGGGAAAATAAGACACTGGGGTCGGTCTAGTAGGTCTTTTTTTTTTTTCTAGAAATATGGTAACGTTAAAATTGAGTAACGTTACTCTTAACATAATTTTACACCGAAATTTACTACGATTTTAAGTGGCTTATGAGTTGGATTTGCCTAATTCAGTTTTTAAATTTCATATATTTTTAATTGAAAATCTAAATCAAAATTAAATTGATTGCCTTTTTTTTTGGGTTTTCTTCTCCCACTCTATCTCCATTCATATCTCGAGCTGATCCTCGCGGCCCCAATCCCACCCCTCATTACCCTTTAATTATGGGAACTTTAACGAAAAACTCCTGATATTGTTCACTTTAACGAAAAACCACATTTTTACACTAAAAATTCAATCCTGGAACTATTCACTTTATCCTTATCGTTAAAACTCAAAGTTTTCAAGTCATTTTCATTAGTTTTCCTTTTAATTGTTCCCTTTCCCATCTCCACTCTCACACAGTCACACTCCATCCAAACTCTAATGACAAAAATTGATAAAAAAACAAAAAGCCTAGAACCATGGATTTTCATCTCTTGTGATTTTTCCTTTTTTTTTTGCTGACAATTGTGTTTTCAAATTTTGTGGTTTAAAAGGAGACGATCAAATGCCCGCATGTAAAATTGAAATTCTAGCATTTGAATAATGTTAACAAAAGAAAGTGATGATGGCATTGGCAAGAGGCAGGGAGGTACATAAAATAGGGTTTGATTGATTCCTTAATCTTGAGAAGCAAGATGACGATGACAAGAGGGTGGGCGGAAGATACAACGAGGACAGTTATAAATTAGGGTTTGAATTTCTTAATTTTTATATTATTGAAACTCATAGTTATTTTTTAATGTATGTGATTATTTACCTCATTTGTCATAAGTTTTTTTTTTTTGACAAATTACATAAAACTACTTTAATTATATGTCGAACCACAATTTCATACATTTTATTTTAAACATTACTTCCTCACACATTTTCACATGAAACAATACTCAAATTAAATGCACGAATCAACTTGATTTCCTAGAAGAAGTTGAGATTTTACGCACTCTAAAATTAATATAAAAAAAAAAGGAGTTTCATTATTTTTTTATGGAACACAACACTCTAATTTTTTTCACAAAATATTTTTTTTTTTTCAAAAAATCATGAGACAAATTGCAGCCATAAGCCCCGTGAACCTAATAACTTCTGTCAAAGGACATCTCTGACTCGACCTCA